CAACTTCAGCTTTACGCTTTTCATATTCAATTTCTTCTCTATAATCGCTTTCGAATTCTTTTTGGCAACGTGTTAATAATATTTGACGAAAATAATATGTTACTAATTTGCCATCATCACCTGGAACCGTGACCTGTTTCTGAAACAAATTCAAATAAAATTTCAAGTCATTCTAAAAATACAAATTTTACTTTTTGAAATTGTTTGCATAATTTTGCATATAGAAGACTAAATGTTGAGTCATCAATAGCCTAATGAGAGAGAAGAAGAATGAGTTCGGAATATTGGGATTTTTCATTTCTAGTAAAATAAAAGTTACTTTCGAGAAGAAGATTGTAACCATTCCCTCCAATCGTTCATAGCGATCGATTTCTAAAGCTTCAAGTTTCTTCTGTGTTTTCTGATATGTTTTTGATGTTAATTTTTTCAGTATTGCCTTAACATCGTGTAGGAATTTATTATTCGCATCGACTTTCGACTGATCAACTCGATTGCAAGAACCGTATTTAGCTGATAGATCAATTTCTGTTTCACGTTTTGAATCATTTGCAGCATTTGCACTATTCATATTAGCAGCCGATGATGTGTGATTATTTGATAGTGATTGCTGATGAGATGAAGGATTTGTGCACACTGTTTGTTTTTCACCAACATGATTAGATTTTGCAGCATTATCATCACGTCGAGTGATAACAATATCAAGATCAGGGAGATTTTTCGGTGTTGGAAATGGTCCTGAACTATCACGTATACGTAAAAGTTCATGACGATCATAGCGTAAACGGTGATTTGGAGATGTTGATTTTTCATTATTGGTTGGTGTTAGTGTTAGTGTTTGTTGTGATGTAATGCCACCGAATGATGTAGTTACCGGTAAGGGTGTTATTGGTTGTGATTTCGATGTATCTACACTGGTTTTATCGCGAACTGTAGTTATTCGATCAGCAGGCTAAATAACCAAAGAAAAATAAAGTATTGATCGATAAATGATAATAAATTCCTTGTCATCTACAATGCTCTGTCTGTCTTAAAGTGGTTTTTCTCGGAAACCATTTCTTTAATATAAATATNAATGTAACACTAAGTTTTTTTTCGTCTCACAAAAGGAGACAATAGTCAACCCATTAAGTTAGAACACATAAACTCAGGCATCTAGACAGATTGAATTGTGCTGTCTACTATTTTAATGGCCTCTACTTTTTGACGAAGAGCAGAAGAATATGTGTAAGAGTCTATATGCGCTCTTCGCTCACGTCAATGCTAATGGATCCTAAATTTGACTGTCTTTCGGATGGAAACAGTTTTTTACTGCTTACGTTAGTCGAGAAGGACGCAATCATAGGCTCAAACATGTTGACGTATTTGTGGATAAAGCGATTCGTGAACGACTGGTATGCGATCTCTAATATGTATTAACATAGCTTTCGCTGACCGAGATTTAAAATATGTAAAATTTAATTCAGAACGATGTCGCTGGTTCAAATGTAATCCTCTTTTTCACATCCGACTCAAATACCAATGGTACTTTTCAGGATATAGGAACGCTCACTACAAATCTAAATCTTAAAGAATATGTAAAACACTAATTTTATACTTTATCTATGATAACATTAGAAGAAACGACTAAATTTTGAGCAAATTGTTTTCGAAATTCAGTTTGCTTTTGTATTTTATTTGAAACATTTATCGCTGAAGTCGATACCGATTGTGGAGATAATGTGATTGGGTTATGTAAGTCCGGATTAATAATAACCAATGGACATTTCTTTCCTTTTTTCGAAACCACTGCTGCTGCTACCGCTGGTGGTGCTACATAGGAACTCGATTGTTGTACATTCAGCGGTATTTGAGGTTGAGACGTCGGTGCACTAGCACTTGGTTGATCAATCTATCAAGAGAATGTTTCGTTATTATTTTAAGACGAGAAAAAAACAGATATTTACTGGTGCATGTTGAGTCGGTTGTGTTGGATGAACTTTTGTTGCTGTTTGTAAATTGGCGATATATGCTTGTTGTTGTTGTTGTTGTTGTGATATTTGTAGTTGATTAGCCATTTGTGTTTGCACTGGTTGTTGTGCATAGCCTGTTGGTATTTGGTAAGCTATTAAAGAAAATAGATGATTTGTTGTTCAAAACAGAAATCAATAAATAAATCACTTCGATAAAATTGTCCTGAATAGACAGATGGTGCTGATGGAAGGCTATTATTTCCAGGCGTATATTGTGGTGGTGGATACCCATTTTGTGGGATAAAATGTGGATAATTGTTCATAGTTTCATTCGCTGGTCGAATAATAGGAATCTGTGAAGGATTCTATTTAAAAACGAATTATAAAAAAAGTGTTTTTTAGGTTGTATTTTAATAATATTTACCATTGGTCTTGGATTAGTTGAAGGCATAAATTGATTTTGGGGATATCCTTGAGGAAGATAAAATTGTTGTTGAAAACCATTCGGTATTGGCGAATAATTATACTAGAAAAAGAAAATTAATCCAAATAGAAATTGAAATTTATGATCATATTTAAGTACTGATGGAGGATTCATTTGTGTTTGATATTGCCCTGGATTTCTACCAGATAAACCATCTTCTAGAAGAGAAAGAAAAACAATTGTGGGAGCATTTTAAACTAGTAATTTTACGTTGTTCCATGCCATTATTCTGCATATAAAAACTAGCTGCTTGTTCATGTACTGCTGCTGCTGCTGGATTAGTATAAGATTGTGATTGATCTGTAGTATTGATTGCTGGCATATAAAAATAGTCAATATGTTTTCGAGATTTACCTTTAAAAGCGTCGTGCATGCTCGTTAATGAAAGAGACACACGAAGAATGCAAATCTTCTCCTTCACTTAACGCACAAATTCAACAATGCAGATCCATAGGCGTATTCATTCTCATATTATCTTTTTAGTAGAAGAAGAATGCATCGTAGGAAAATAATCCCTAAAATGGTTCTCGTTATTACTTGTTACTTTGTTACATAATGGGAGTTCTGACGCTCAAGAATAAATTTTCGATAACTCTGTCCAGTGAATCTCAGTTTCGATTGCAGAAATAAATTCACTATAGATGCGAGTTGAAGATTTCCGAGGTGAGGAGTCTGAATCTAGTTGCAATTGAACAAATCTTGTGAAACACTGCAAAATCTCGTGATCATATGCGTTGGATTTGCTTACTAGTCATTCGAAATAAAATTTAGGTACTGATTAGTTTATTTGTATCTACTGTTCTTAATACAAATATGTTAGATGCATTGCTTACATAAAAATTAAGTATTAAAGAAACATCCTACTCTCTCTCAGACTCGCTAAATTGTGTTACTTTTATTTAATTGAGAAACTTTATTAGTGGCAGTTCTATGCTTCACAGCATACTCGTATAATATTGCAACTATATTGCAAGAATTCATGAAGCTATCATATTCTCACTGATTAATTATTCGTCCAAGTTAATGAAACATGATATTAGAAAGGAAAGATTTTCACAATAGGCAAGTTACCTTGTTTCTGCACGATCTTCACAGTTTTAAGAGCATCCTGCACAGCTGCTTGTAGATTATCGATATTCTCTATAGTAAATCTGATTTCGACAGATGAGTCTAATTTTTCTAGATCTTTTCCAATTCGGTCTATGTTTTCGATGAAGTTTTCCCTCGATTGTAGCAACATTTCGTAGTTATTATCGACAAGAATATTTTCCAATTCTTTTCTATATTGTTCGAGTTTAAGGGTTCGATCAGCCACATTTTGTTGATACTTCTCTAACCGTGCTTTGTTATTATCATCAATCTCGTCGATACCTTCGTTCAACTCTCTTTCACACGTATCAACTGCTGCACGAATGCACGTAAATACATCAGTAATTTTGTCTTTGCTAAGATTTTTATTTGAGCTTGCCACTTTTTCCGCACTTTCTAAAGCTTTCTCCACGAATGATTGTGCACTTTCAAGCTTATTCTTTAACTAAATTCCAAGAAAGTAGTGTTGTGACTGACACGTGCGCGTACAATGGAATACTGACCTCTTTCTCTACATCGTTCACAATGTCTATAACATCTATAACCTTATGATCATGATCCTTAGCCAGTTGACAATTCCGACAGATCACCCTATTGCAGCTGAAACACCAATATTTCAGATTTTCATTTTGATGTATTTTGCATCGCGCCGGTTCCGTCGGTTTTTGCTGAATGGGCACTCTGTGATGAGTGCTTATAGCTGGTTGTTTATGGACAATATAGCTGCATTTCAAGCAATAGCTAGTCTCACACTTCATGCACCAAAGTACGGCTTTGACCGAACAATTATTGGAACATTGCAGGATGACTATAATCAAAGAAACAATGGAGTTAGTTATGAAATTATTGACTCATATAAAGTATCGTCCACTAGAGCCCATGTGAGTGTTTTATAGGAATGAAAAATTAGCATATTTTATAATATTTAAATCAATGTTTTCCCACATATGTCAAAATTGAAACTTGAATTCAATTGAAAATTTCAATTTTCAACTTTTAAGCCAATAGCATTTTGAAGGATCATGGCTCACCCATATATCGCTATGAGTTAAAAGTTGAAATTTTCTATTTTCAACTGAATCCAAGTTTCAAGTTTGACACTACTGTTAAATGTTAACCTTCGCAATAGCCATATAAATGAATTTTCTTCTCTGTATTTTACTTATTTTGAAATCACTTCGTGTAGAATATGTACGCCCTTGAGAGATGATCATCAGTCTCTAGTTCTATACACTGTATCTTAAACTGAAATTGAATGAAATTAAAGCTTTTTCATCGCGATAGGAACATTCAAACTACTCGTTATTCTTAGTAGCTACATCTTGGATGCACCAAAGACAATAGATATGTGAGTAAGGGTTCGTACATGGATCGGTAAAACAGTCAAAATTATCATGTAAATGATCAGATCTTTCACATGTTCATTTTCATAGTTAGAGATTATTTTTTTACCTGAATTATTCGATGTCATGCCAAGGAATAGATGATGTGACGATTGCGGTGTATCTTTATCTAGAGGTAAAAAAGAAAATATTTATAATTTGATTCCTGATTAAAATATTGTTCGAGTAATCAGATACAACAACTTTTGGTTTTATTGCTAGTTAGGTACATTTCATGATACTGCATTGTAGACTAAAGTCATCAGTATTAGGATAACTACCTCAAATGACTATTACTACTTCCAATTATTAAATCTCAATGATGCGTATAAATAAACTTTACTTTCTAACGTTTTAAATTGTTAGGCAACGCACTATTGGCTGAAATACATATATGGTAGTTTTACATGATGAAATAATGAGTTGTGTGAAACATATTTGTTTATTTTCTAGAGATCTCGACAGTGTTCGAAATAAAATCTAGCAATTAACAAATATTTTCGATAGTTTCACGCTGACTAACATGAATCGAGAGAAGGTTCGAAATTGCAAGTGCTGAATTCAAATTATTGAACAGTTTGGCATATTGCCTGCTGCGTGGAAGTGACTTACTCTTAGTTGTTTTTTCATTACTGTGAATGACCAAAGGTGTACCTCTTATTTTTTTCTGTTCTCAATATTACAGATTTGACTATAAAGGGAAGTTTTTATTATAATTTAACACGCATTTTTCACACCTTCATGCAATCTAGTACGGCTCTGACCAAAAATGTTTTCACCATTATTTGTATGTGTAGACAAATTTTACGAATGAGTCATGTCTGTTTAATATGATCTCTTGAAATTCACTATTATAGCGTATTGATTTTGGTTTCATATCCTTTTAATCACATAAATTAATGAATAGAGTGGAAGTAAATAGCTAGCCTATATTCTTCGTATCCTGGCACGAATTATATATACTATTCTAATAGTTTTCTCTCGGTTTTCAAGATTGAACAATAATATACGTACCAGAATCAACTAATTGAAACAAAAGCACTCCGAATAATTTTATTGGTTTGCTCTCGTTTACTGTTTTTTTCTGTCGACTACGATTACTTTGTTTTTTGTTTTCGGCGAGAAATTTTTTATCGCCGCAGGACAAAAGATATCTATGTGCTGTTGATTTAACTTCGCCTGTTTTTTGTTTCTGTGTGTTTTTTTTATCAACAAATCAGCTTTTTTTTTACAGAGGTTGCACATGGCGCCAGTGGAATGTGCTGTGGAAAAAATTACTCTTGCTCAGCGAAAGTCATTACAACACCATATCTCACAAAACAAAATATGATTCACTGAATAAAATGTCTTTTGTTTACGGTTTGTTTATTATGTTTTATACAAGGAAACAATGTTGCAGGTGAGATTACTGTTGATCGACCTAGTTAAAAAGCAGGCGAACATTCTTATTGCACATTCGCAATGCCTACCTCGTTTGTACAAAATAAGACGGCTATATGGCCGTCCTAAACGAACTCGTAGCTAACCAAACTAGAAATTTGAATAGAAATAATTACATTTGACTATAATTACTCTAAAGTCGCCATGGTTGAGTGCATACGTTATTCGACACGTACCCACAAGGTGCTGTGCTCAAACCGCCCTGTCACCAACCATGTAATAACCCTGAAAAAGTTACTAACGGCTGATTGTTCCGGATGACTCATCCGATAGCGTATCGATTATACCATTAGTCAATATACAGAGTCAAAACAAAACTTCAACATAGATTTCACGGCCACGTGATCCTATGGTGATCATCAACCCATAATCATTAACGAGGGAAGCGTTGGACGGATGGGGTGCAGATACCGTCGTCTGTAAAGGAGAAAAAAACGAAACAACCTGGCTGCTTGTGAACCGTTTAGCGCCGGCCCCAACGGGCGATAAGTCTATAGGAGATATTATTATTATTATTATCATTATATAACCAGCACAGTGTCCCCACACTTCAACAACCTCATATACACTATGTAAAAAAAGTTATTGGGACACTTACGATATCACTCTTTTAAAGCAAATTTGACAGTGAAGAAAAAATATTTTCTTGACTTCTTTTATACCATTCGATAGGTCTGAGTCTCTGCTTTATTCTGCAATCACAATGTTTGTCCTTAAACGAAGTTTTTAAAAACTCTAAGGATTTGCAACAAAACCCTTGATTTTCTACTCAAAAAACAAATATTGGGACACATGCATCATTCCTTTTGTAGAAAATTGATTTTGAAATAAGACATCTTAAATCATACTTCGTTCGATAGAGAGAATTGTTTTCTACACGATGATATAGTTTAAAAGCTAAAATATATTGATAGGGTTTTGAAAACTTGCAAATATCTGAGTCACTATTGGTTTTCCAGAATACTACAGAGTTTTAGATTTAAACAAATAGAAACCTGACTCAAAATATATCATTCGACAGAGAAAAATAAACTGAATCGAACAGTATTCTTTGTAGGGAAAACCAAAAGCTAATTACGAATTACTAAGAGTCTCTTTCATAGCTTTTCAATAATCTTGATTTTTCAGGCACAAAGTAAGCCTAAATTTATTTTTGAAAAAAATATGGTTGTATGGACTCAAATTCTCTTCAAAACGATGTATTTGTTTATATGGTAAGTACTCTCCTTAAAGTTGTTAAGACCGTATCTTTTCACATGCAACGACCTTCTATATACGTATCTGCCGTACCATTGGCAATGATGCCGACTACATCTCCTGTAATGAGATATGTATGCCTTTGTGTTTTTAATCTGCTTTTTACTTATCATATGCACACATGTTTTCATTCTCTTCTGCAACTTGTTGTCAA